GGCCTGAGCACACGCGCTCCAGTCGCATTCCGAGCTTGTAGGTCATCAGCTTATTAAGGACTCGCAGTGCGTGAAGGTCACTCGTCCTCATCGCCCATGCAGATGCGGCATCAAGCTGTTCCCGACGAGCTTGGTACGGATCTCAAGACTTGAGTCTTGTAGGGATGTCAATAAAGAGGTGACATGTTGACTCAGCACAGGCTGTACGGAGGATTTTCCTGCTTTTTGACCTGTCCGTTGAAACCCTTCCGTCCATCATGCCAATGCCAGAGACATCGTGTAGCTCTCTCTGCATATTTGCATGCCTCACGGCGATGATTCGCCGCAGCACCGCTGTTTGCAGTCTTCAGACGTGCTGGTTGTTAATGTTTCGGAAAGAAAGCAGAACAAGAGTCCTTGCTTGCAGTTCTAACGGAACAGTTTGTCGTGCTATATCAAGCTTTCAACAACCAAGGTTTTTTTGAGAGCATAGGTGCTTGATATCAGGATTCTCTCGGGTCTTTCCTTGATGAGACGATGCCTCCCAAGTAGCAAGCCTAGCAACACCGTTGAGTTCCTGTGAAACAGCATGGCTAGGCATGTTTTCTTCACTCAGCACAAAGCGTTCTGCATTTGGGGCTTGCGCAGGCCCACCACAGGCGGGGAGGAGACGCAAGCTTTTCCTTGCCTTTCATGATGCCTCCCGCAGAAGGCAGACGACGTCCGGCTTGTTACCTGTTGCGAAGCTCGTGGAGCATTCAGCGCTTACATGCCACGGAGTCATGTCTATGGCCTGAAGATGATGCGAGACTAGGCAAGCGCGTGCTCAGCAAATAGCGACAGTGAGGTCTTCATGAAGCGCGCAGCAGCATTCGCGATGCGCAAGCCCCCAGCGCATGCGTCGCGAATTGTTGATGGTTGTCTGCCATCGCTACACATGGACCATCCAGTTCTTAGCGGATACGCGGGAAGTTTTCGGTCGAGATGTTGTTGCTGAACAATTTCTCGCAAATGTCGCCGGTTTTGCGCAGTGGTCGGCAGATAGTGCTCATGGCACGGAACGTGGATGCGGTGGATTCCAGGTGTCGGCAGCACCCTGACCACGTGACTCCGGATGCTATTGACGACCAGATAAGACGGTCTATCCAGCATGGGATGCGAGGTGCATCGAGGACTTGTGCTGGGCTTCGAGAAACGATTCAACTTTAACTGTGTAGGATTTTGGAAGAGATGGACGTCGCCCATCACGAACCAGTGACATTGACACCATGGACGAAGTTCAGGCATTCTCAGGCTGCGCAGCAGCATTGCTGGCAGGTTCTTGGCTGCATCTGACAAGCAGGTTGACTGCACATCAGAAGAGTCGCACCTTCTCAGCCGTGTCTGGTGTGGCTGACCGAACACCGGAGGGCACGTCACAGAGATAGGTTCTTCTGAAACAAGACTGGGCCAGGCAGCTACTACATTGATCGTTTGCAAAGCTGACACTCTGCAGACTGTTGAGAGGCAGTTTACGGAGAAAGAAGAAGTTGTATCAGTTTGAGCGTTTGGCAGAGGTGGATGCAGCCTGTCACGAGCGTTTACGATGATGCCAGATGCAAAAATTCAGAAGAACATTACATCCCAACATAGTTTCCTGTTCTGCAGGGTCAATCATGCGATTGGCCTGATCGAAAATCGCCTTTTTGGCACATGATCAGCCGCAGTCTCGTGCGGCGCAGTAAAGCCCAGCTAGCCGCCCAATAACCCCACACAAGTGTGATCAGTTTCACAGTGATGCGAGTTTTTGCATCTCGAAGACGTAGGGCTGAGTGTTTATGAGCATGTGGCAGAGGCTAACGCAGCCCGCCTGGATCAGGTCATGTTGACACCAGGAATGAACCTATGGACACTCCAAGGCTGCACCACATCGCTGGAGCTGCACCCGTTGCGACAAGTGTGTGTTGATTTTGTATGTGGCACGGCTGATCGAAACAGATCAACTGGAACACAGAAGTGCACGACGGCATCATCAACGCCCTGTTGCTGAGGCGGGCCTGCTAGAGGCAGCTGTGGGTGTGACGTTGCAGAGGTTTGGGAGCCTGCCAAGGGAGAGAGAAGAGCTTGTATCAGTATGAGTATTTGGCAGACGTTGATGCAGCTCGGTAAGATTCATTCACGTTGATGCCTGGGATGAACATAGACATCCCCAGGCTGTTTCGAGTGGGTGCCACGCTCCATTCCAGGTGATGTTTCTGCAGAGGGCTGGCACGCGCTCAGCTGCGCCTGGCGTGGCTGATCGAAACCAGGCCCGTATCAACTGGAGCACAGAAAGGTACGAAAGTGTTGGTAATGCTCTCCTGCGGTGCAGGGTCCGCAAGAAGCAGGCCTGGACAGGACAGCTGTGGCAGTAACTGACCAGAGTGAGACCTTGCGAAACAGCCAGTCTCCGTTTCTATCAATATGAGCATCTGGCAGAGATTGATGTAGCTTGTCATGATCCGGTCGTGTTTTGTCGCACTGACACCAGGGATGAGCAGCATTCCAAGGCGCCCAAGATGCGTGCTGTCCGGAAGCTACTCTGATCGAGAAGCACACAATTGCAACTGCGTCAGCGATGCGAAGGAAGAGTGAGCGGTTGCCAAGGGACGCGAGTTTCTGCAGCTCAGGGAGATAGGGCTACTAGTGCAAGTTTAAGCACTTGGCAGAGGCTAACGCAGCCCGCCTGGGTCAGGTCATGTACCTATGGACACTCCAAGGCTGCACCACATCGCTGGAGCTGCACCCGTTGCGACAAGTGTGTGTTGATTGTGTATGTGGCACGGCTGATCGAAACAGATCAACTGGAACACAGAAGTGCACGACGGCATCATCAACGCCCTGTTGCTGAGGCGGGCCTGCTAGAGGCAGCTGTGGGTGTGACCGCATGCACAGCCAAGACCTTGCAGAGGTTTGGGAGCCAGCCAAGGGAGAGAGAAGCGCTTGTATCAGTATGAGTATTTGGCAGACGAACAACTTGCAATAATATGATCATCTGGCAGAGGTTGACCGCGCCCGTGACGTGCTGCGGTCGGTGTCGCGTTGATGTCCGATGCCGTCAGTGCAACCCATGCATTTTCCCAGCCTGTACAGCTGTTTCGTGCGAGGCCTAGCATGCAATAATATGTGCAATTGGCGCAAATCACATTGTTGGCACGTGCTCAGCTGCACTCCGGTGTGGTTCAACGAAAGCACAGCCGCCCCAGTAACCCCTCCCCCTCATCCTCATGAGAGGTTGCAGGGTGACGCGAGCTTCTGCAGCTGCTTGTCGAAGTATCGCTATGAGCAATGTGAGCATCTGGTGCAGCTTGGCCCAGCAGTCAGGCCCTGCAGCGTGCACAGTTGCAGAGAGGCCGGGCTCGCACATGCTGAGCTGTGCTCCGGCGTTGCGGCTTCCAGAGCTGAACCGGAACACAGGAGAGAGGCAGAGCAGACGCAACGCACTCCTGCCTTGTAGCACTGCGCTGAACAGGCTTGCCGTGAAGTGTGCCTTGCGTCGCTCACGTGGTTTGAGCAGAGGATAGTTGGTAGCGGGAGGTGAGCCGCTTTTCACTGTGCCTGCACCGAGGGAACTTTCAGAGAGGCGGCGAGGCGGCTCAGTTTGCCAAGAGGCTTCGCTTCGCTTCGCTTCGTCGGATAGGCTCGGGTGCTCCAGACAGAAGGTTTCGGCAGTTTGCTTGCTTTCCACACTTCGCATGGGGAGCCCGACACCGGCACGCGCGGCAACTTCTCGAGTCCCGTGCCAGCCGTGCCCGCCCCGCCCGCGTTCCTTCAAGGAGGGTGCGGCTGCTGGGGCAAAGACTGAGGCATACTGCCGAGGTGCCTGCTTTGAACGGTTTGAAACGGCACTTGGCAAGCTGCTGCTCAGTAGCATGTTCTGGCCCGATCTTTGCAAAGTGTCTGTACATTACGCAGTTTTGAGGCAGTCACCTTATTTTCGAGTTTTGTCCATGCCGATATGCAGATCGAATCGGATGGTGCAGATGAGAGGCTGCAGCATCTAGTGACTAGTGGCGCAGGCCAGTCAACGGAACAACCCGCGCATTGGAAGAAGAAAGACCGAGATGCTTTGGCTTGCTAGTGACAGGTCTGCAAGTTCTGCTTGTATCTCAAGCTCACGTTGCGACGTGCGAGATCTCGAGGTAGAGTCGTTGGTAGGCCCCTCGTCAAGTGTGATTTGTTACCGACTTGCGAACACGTACGCCTTGGATGCTTGGTAGATTCATGTCAACTTTGTTTCACCTGCAGCTTGACGGAACTAAGCTCCGATCTGACCTCAGCCACGCTTTGCCTTGCTTTGCTTGCTGGGTGCACGATTGGAAGCACCACTGCTTTGTGACCGAGAGTTACGTGGGTTTCTCTGCTTTTCACAGGTTATCAGCCGTAGGACCTCTAGCTTCCGATTTTGCACTCTTGCTTGCTGCTGCCGCCTTTGGCACTCGGATCATCTATTGGATTAGTGAGTGCGAAGTTGTGCCACTGAGAGACGATGACTCCGATTGGGTCTCCGCGTGTTCCCTCAACTGTCGGTTCTTTACTAGTGACGCCAGTTGCGCGGGATGCTGCGGAGCCCGATGATAGTGCTCATGCAGCCCGCCTCGCCACGCCTGCCATGCCTGCCAGCTTTGCCGCTGCCACACTGCCGCATGGCACGCCTGCCGAGGTCGATCAGAGTGCTTTGCCGCTGCAAGTGCCGCCGATGCCTTGCGCCGCGCGATGACTGGCAAGGCGCACCATCCGCAGCCGCATGCTTTTGGTGCCGATCGTGTTTTGCCTGCATTGCCGTGCTTTTCCGCGAGCGCTGCTGCCACTGCACCTGCCTCGCGATTCACACCCACTCCGACCGAAATTTACCAGCCGTGCCCTCTTGCCCTTAGGGCCTCAGGGAAAATGTGGAGGGCGCCCGGGCTCTCTTTGAGCCCGGGCAAGGTGACTGGGGCCATCCGATTGTGGTCCCAGCACCTGCAGAAGGGCGAGGCTGCGGCTCCGGTGTCCCGATTGCGTTACCGGTGAGCCGTGGGTTGGCAAGCGACGATCCCTCGATGCGGGACGCAATCGGTGCTGATGCCGCCCAGCGGAGAGCCAGCGATTTGCAGACAGTCACGCAGGGCGTGCTCAACACGCATGCTGACCTCGACGTCCTCAGAGAAGGAGTCGCTGATCTTGCAGAGGGCTTCGACAACAAACTCGATGGTCTCCGTGAGCGGTTTATCATGGGTCGAAACTATGAGCTCGCTCAAAAGTGTCGCATCGACGATCATGGGACTCTTCATGAGCGATTCGAAGTGTTGAAGAGTAAACTTAATGATCGATTGCTGGAGTTCGATGCGCAAATTTATCATCTGAATGAAACTCGAGCTGAATCGATCAGTGCCAAGCTCCATCGAATGATTAGTCAGCTTCAGCAATTCCCCGATAGCCTCCAGCATATATATCTTGGTATGCCCGACTGGGAGGCTCGGATCAGCACTGTTGAGCAAAATGCGAATAACCGCATCGAAGCTATTCGATTCGAACTGTGCCGATCTCTTCACGATCACAAAACCAAGACTGATGCTTTCATCGATGATCTTGCTGCGAGAGTTCGGCATCTCGAAACTGCTCAGGCTCATCGAAGAGACATGACCGAACGTGCGATCGATGAAATTCGCCGTGAAGTCAGATCTCACCGATCCGAACGATCTATACGCCGTCACGCCACGACAGTGCACAGTTCTTCGATATCAGTGATAACGATCGAGAGATCCCTAAGCCAGACACCTTTCCGCCAAATCCAAGGTCTCTGTTTCCTGGTGGATCGCCGCCCCTGCCGAGAAGGCCTCGACCGCTCAGTTTCCAACGAGCAGTTTGACTGCTGATGAGAGATCTAGGCTCTTCATTGATGAGCGTCCGAGAGATGAGCGTGTTGACCTTGACAGGCCTCCTCAACCGAAATTCTATCACTTGTCTGGTCACGACACAAGCGTTTCCTCCGGCCGAGCTACTGATCCCAACATGTCGATTCCAAATGTTATTCCTTCGGCATCCGCCGTAACATCGACGTCCAGTTCGACTGCAGGAATTCCTGCGCCGTCGGTTGCTACAATCCGATTAACATTCCAGAGACGATTCCTTAGGCACGAGTGTCCGAGCAGAGTGCAGAGCGATCGTTCGCACCACAGCCTCGTTCTGCTCCTACCTTTCCGTGTCAGATTTCTTACGATGCAACACACACCGTTGCTCCCCCTGTACCCTCCAGTACCCCAAGCTTTCACGGGCATGCTCCTAGCGGAAATGATCCTCCACGCCGGAATCCCGATGGCGCTGGTGGCAGATTCGGAGACGGTGGAGCTTATGGACCCAAGTGGTCACGATGAGCAACCCTCAGGCAGGTAACTCGGATAACGCGCATCCTTCTGAGAATTTCGTTGTCGCTTGTGTGGCATCATTTGACTTTGCTTGTCCATCGTCACTGCGTAAGTCTGTATCATTTGGGGATACAGAGACTCGCATGGTTACTTCATCCTTCCCTGACCCTGTCTTCGGACCGGTCGTTCGTAAGCGGAATCTGAACTAGTCGTGGCCGGAAGATATCCGTAGCCTGAATAGTTCTCGCGAGCGGCGCAGGGCTCATATGAAGGCCATCTTATGGAGGAAGCAAGCTATTTTGGACGATGTTGATGCCAAGACACTTGGAAATGATGCTTGTGTTTCCGAGCTTAGGCTTTCCAAGCGAAGTGCGTGCGAAGTTTTGCTGCTGCTGCTAAATCTGTCAAAAGGGTCCGGAGGCTGAGATGCTCGACTCCGGTTGCGGTATTGATCTTATTGGTCTCGGTGATCTTTCGTGCGATGAAAGGGATAACGGAACTAGTCGTGCAGAACGCCAAACTCAGTCCCTGGACTGCCGATGGCAAGACCAATACTCGAAGAGGCCTCGCCCATATGCGCATGTCTATGTCTATGTATATGTATATGTATATGTATATGTATATGTATATGTATATGTATATGTATATGTATATGTACATGTGTATGTACATGTATATGTATATGTATATGTATATGTATATGTATATGTATATGTATATGTATATGTATATGTATATGTATATGTATATGTGGTTAAAGGGTCAAACTCTACCGCTGCGTT